CGTGAGAAAAAGGGTTTACACTTAAAAATGAAGTAAAATATAGGGACAAATGGATTCTGAAGAAAGTTTCTCTGAATTTTCATTATACTTTTATGTTTCAGTCTATCAAATTATTGAGATATATATATATGTATATAAGCTGTAGATGGTTTTTATGAATAATTCTAAAATTCAGGATAGAGGTTTGTGATGAATGTATCGTTTCAATGTGGTATTCATCACAGACTGATATCACTTGGAAAACTAGGGGAAATGGGCAGGTTTTTCGTCTTTGTATGGGACTTCTCAGCTGAACCCAGCTATTACTACGTTAGAGAAGGAACCCATGATCTTAAAGCCTCGCAGCAGGTACATTTTCATTTGGCTACTAGGTTGGTATCCAGTAGTAAACAGGTCCCTACTTCTGTCATTTTACAACAAAGCATTGCCAGATTGGTTTACCCAGCCGATTACGACTTCTCATCAAAATCTCGGGAATCTTATCTCAAAGCATACCACTAATGATCGCTAGATAGCGATTAAATCTAGAGATGAGGCTAGTCCATGGCTTGGCAAACCGATGTTTGTAATAATGACAACGATTTAGGGTGAAATGAAGATCTGGGTCGTGTTAGGATCTGAAGTAGCAGCTTATGGACTACAATCCTGGCGCCTTACAAACTGGTGTGTAACACCTATTTGTTGACTTGGTCCTAGCTTAAATTTAAACAGCATGAGTGTTGTCAAGCTTTTATGTAAATGAGCAATATACAACTGCTCATTCACTGACTCCACAATGACTGACTAGTAACACCTTGGTTCAATCCAAATAAAGCTGAACAAGAAAACAAGAAGGGTAAACGGATTACTGGTGAAACTATCTGAGATTAACGTGGTTCAATAGACCTACCGACTGAAATCAATATAAATGATGCTCGTTAGCTATATCTCGCAGATTAGTTTGCAAAATGTGAACCTAGCAACCCAGAAACCAATGATTTTAACTCTGAAATCATTGAGTTCAACTTAGAAAGACGAAATTCCTTAGTTGACAACAGCTTGTAAGCGATCTACATGCATCATAATGACAAGAATTGTACGCATTTAATTCCTTGTCGTTCGTTTCGTTGTGAAAGGGAAAGTGAGCTGAAAATGTTGACAATCTGAAGAATCGTTTTTCAAATCTGTAGAAGTTCTAAAATAGTGACACGTTAAATTTTCTCCGTAGCCTGTTGTAGTGTATACAAACCTTCAGGTCAACGCAGTATATCACCTTTATCTTATCTGTTACTAAACTAAAGTATTTAATAATGTGCTTTACTTTATATTATAATATCCTTTAGAAATATTTCTAATTGCATAAATCATTCACATAACTGAAAAGAAAGATTGTCAAAGCTTTGTATATTCAAAGGAAGTCAGTATAGGACGTCTTAAACAAGTTTACATCTTTAAAATTGTTCATTTTGTTCAGTCAGTAGTCAAATGACATGATCTTGAGTTGTAGTACCAGAGGTCAGCTCGCTGTAAGAGAAGTAGATGCAAATAACTGCGCAGAGATCTGTTAAGCTCAGTTATTATTTACGAATACCTTTTAATAAGTTAGAAAAACATCACAGTGAATGGTCATGTGGAATGGAGACGTCTAGAATTGTTTGAACTTGTTGCTCAAGTAGTGAATTTGATTGTTCTAAACATTTACAACAATATATAACACATAATTTGACTGTCTGTAAACGTATGAATCTAGAAATCATTTTAAGTATAAATTTAGTGCTGAATCTTCATTCGTAGCCGTTAAATTAGACTACAATTGCCTGATTCCAAAATCTTAAGTTTCTTTGATTGGATTGTCAAAGTTTGAAACACCAAAGACAACATTTTTTTGGGGGGGTTTTATAAAGATTAATAATTTCTAGGTAGCAGTCATCAATAACTGGCATCGGTTAGATAACTACTGAAAACCTTGGTGCACTAGATAGACTTTTGATCCTTGTTTGAGTCTCCACTGAAGCATGTAAACATGACACCGCCAGGGATTAAACACAAGACCTCCATATCTCTCAGTGGATAAGCTGCTACTAAGTCAACCACATTTTCCTAATATTTTTAATTCATAATACAGCACAACCATCATACAATGCAACCATCACACACGAGTTGCTTAATCATACTGGTTAAGACTTTTCATCAGAACTTCGGGTAATCCTCTTCAAAGAGTGCCATTAATGAATAAAAGTAATGACAGTAGTAGTCCAAAGCAGAGAAGTAGGTATTTCACACTCAAACAACTAACGCTTCGCCTTGATATGTCTATATATCATATAAATCTCCTCCAAATAATCAGCCTTTGTGCATAGAGGATATTGTTAATTTAACAAACTAGTTACAGGGATGTAGGGACTTCTGATTCACATCTTCAGAATACAAAGGAATGGAAACAATATTTAACCATATTTGTTGCAGATTTATTCATTTGGAATAAACAAAGAAATGTTAAAAATTCTGGCTTGCTGTTAAATGGTTGTGTATCAATAAAGTTGGACTAAAACAGAAATGTGTGACTTTATGACCAGTAATAGGGAAATCAACTTACTGGATGATGTGAATTTAAAATAATGGTGAACTTTGTATTATCTGGGTCATAAGACAAACGTCAGGCTTGTAATCGGGTGTCTTTGGATAAACATTTCATTATAATTAAGGTCAGACCTCAAGTTTACATTCTTTTTACAGTGATTTTTTGCCAAATCAAAATATTCTAGTATTTGTAAGTCATTTTGTTGGAATTTTCAGAAAATTATAGGATAAATGCGTTAGTTGTGTATTTCTATAGTGTTAGAAGTCTGAAAGTCACCAAAGTTTTATTCTATTTTCATTTGGAAAATATGCAAGTTGAAGAGAAAACAACTTAAGACTATCATTTCAATTACAATAGTTGTAACACCAAACACTACTTGTAAATTTTAAATAGTCGAAGTTGTCTTTGAAAAGTTTTCATACTAAGGATTAATCAACTATAAATTATATAATGAAAGCGTAAATATTTCTTGATTAAGGCAGCAATCAACCGTACATTTCATGCGTGTGATGAAATAATTAACTGTCACTTTGATTACAACTACTCCAATTTCTAATTTATTTCAGACGTTTTTTAAGCCTATAATAGTGTGCTTATTCTTGTATGAAGGAATTGCTAATCAGAATAAAAAAATACTCGGATCAACAGGCTTCTGATTTATTCAACTTCAAGTTAGTCTCTTGCCTGACTTTATAACTTTTGAAAAGTAGTCAACTTCTTTTCCCTCTTGATAGTATTAAAATAGAGATAAATATTCTGGTATACTAAATGAATTTATGACTTGTATAACTGGCCTCTTACATATAAGTTTGAGCATTCTATACAACACTGAAGCGTCTAAATATGTCAAAAGTAACATCCTTTATGACAAAATTCAGGTGTCATAAAAATTTCAGGGTTAGATTAATTCCGTTGAAATGGACAATAAATAAGTTGAAAATTCAGTGCATCAGTTATTCAGAATGCCGGGTTAAAAGACACTTATAAACAAGCCTTTGTAGTTACTAAGTAAGGTAAGTGGTTTCGCATCCTCAGTCAGAATCCATGATGTTCTGAGTCACACGCAGTTAATTACAAAGTTAGGAATCAAAACATTCAAATGTATACATTTACTATTTTTGAAATTAATTTTCTCAATTTATCGAAGGACCATTTATTTCAATCGAAATACAAATTTGAAGTGATCTTATTTCTTGTATCTATACCTGGCGTCAATAGGAAACTTTTCACTTATTCGTTGTAGAAATCATGCGTTGTCTTGACTAAATTGTAGTCTTATAGGAAACCCAAGAGGGAGGTATAAATGACCTTCTCCATATGAATTACTATAGACATGGTTTGCAATCAAAATCATATCTGTCATCCCACGACAGATCTCTTCACTTTTAATATAGGTCAAAACCCATAAAAACCTAACACCTCCGAGAAACAGCGCTAAATTTATTTTTAAGTCAGACGGATATGCAATCAATAGGAATTCATTATCCCCAGCTACTATGATTCTTCATATTTCTTGAGAGAAATATGTAATTATATACGGTGTTCAAACGAGTAGGACGAATAATTTAGTTTGCAGATGAGAAAAATCTCAGTTGAAACTTCAAATTTGATTTCCGAAAATGTGAATTTAAAGCCTACTTATTCCAGTTATTGAAAATATCACTTCGATAGATGAAAGAATGGTTAGTTTTAGTTTCTTCATAGATGCTTTTTGATAGCATGGCAGAAATCACGTCCTACTTTAGGCGATTGCATGAACGTTAAGGTAACGAATGCCCATAGTTCTTTACTGCTTAAGACTTCTGTTGTAGCTTTAAGGCAAAAGTGAGTAAGTTACATAAGACACCATAAAAATCAAATAAAAGGTATCTTCCTATCTTAGGGAAATGACGTCGCGTGACACTTGGTTTGTAGGCCTCTTGGCGATAAAACATTTTTGAAGAACGTGAGCTTTAATCGCAATCGAGTTTAATGCGTATGTCGGATAAATATCCTGCAAGTGTAGTAGGTGTATTATTTTAAGAATGGTGAAAATTGAGTAGTAAAATAAGCATAATACAATAGGGTAATCAACAGTTATACGATCACATACTGAGCTAGCAAGTTGTTCTGCAAAAGCCATCCAAAAAATTCAAAGTGACTTTCTTAGGTAATAACATTTCAAGATTTGGATTTGGATTTTTGATGTTTTCATAAAAAACAAACATCAAATGTCATCACTTCACTTTGTGACTCAAGTTTCTCTTAATATGATTATGTGGCTCTGATACTCGCGCAACCAGTTAATTTAAATCGCTGTCCTTCAGGTCGTGATCATAGTAGTTTTTAGAATAAGTTAAATATACTCACTGGATTTTCATAAGACTGTTTTGAATGTATGACAAACCATTAAGCAGTTAGTTTCCTTCTCGCTCATTTAACATAAATGAAAAAATCTTACCAATGGGATCCACATGGTCGAAATGGTCGATAAATGTTCTTCGATCCAGAAATAGTGACAACTAAGCTTTTAGTATTTAGTTCATTTTGAGTTTACCTTGCCATCTGGAGTGACCTTTTTCAAAACACTTTACAAATATTAAGAAATCGTAACTGAAATTACTCGAAGTAACGTCCTTGGGACGCTTCAGAGGCCATTGTGAAGATGACACGATAATAAGATCATTGCGGAATATTTCATAGGAAAACAATTTATTTCAAGGCTGAACTTCAACTATCGATGCAAACAAACAAAAAAGGACGAACTCCCAATTCTAGAAATAGCTATCTTTTCTTCATTGAACTTTACAGTTGCTTTGTCAAAAGACACCCTTCAGGTGGAAAAAATATCTTTTGTCTTCAAAAATAATTTATTTTAGTAATTAAACTACTCACTGTCTATGGAGAGATGAAAACCCTCCTTATGAGAGCCAAATGACTTGGACAAGCAGCTTTTGTAGCCCATGAATCTATGTAACAAGTCAACGATTAAAAGCTTTTCAGAAAAGGCCCTCGACAGCTAGCGTGTCCTGAACCTGTTGGGAGTGAGGCACATTTCTGCCTCCCCAAAATTTAAGATCATTGTATATGAAAGGGATCTGGAATTCGAGTTACAGGAATAATTCATTCGTGATGATGAGTTAAAAATAATACATTAGGGAGCAACACGCAGCATCACTGAACAATCTGGTGGGAATAAGCGAACTAAAAGTTGGAATTTCCTCCGAACCAAGTGAGGCATTAGCAAGACCCGCCTTCAACTTTCAAGCAGTATATCTGGGCATATGTGGAGGCATTTTTTTGTCCGCTTTTGATCACCCCCTTTCTGGTGAAATTACATGATGTGACTCCCCATCTGGCGGCCAAGTTGTGAGTCAAAGAGGGTCTCTGCTAGGACAGCGGCAAACCTATGTCACTGTATGTATCCAGCAATGGCTTTCTGTGTCTCAAAACTAAAATGAAAACTCATGACTCGCTGCTGCCTATTACTCGAATGCTTACATTGGTCTTCATCACGTTCTGAATCTTAAAAAGTTGAGCTGTTTGCATCTTACCACATATGTTAGCCAAGTTATTGATGGTACGTAGTGACCATGCGAATGTTTCGGGATAAGTAAGTGCCCGTTTCAGTTAGACTGTAATATACTGCGTCATCCAGGGACATGAAGATTTCTTACATGAAGTGCAAGGTTAAAGTGATCCTCAGCATAAGCTCACCACTACTATCATGTGATTTCACAAGTACCCACCGGTAAAACCTAAATTTACGCCTCGAGAAAGAGGTAAGGTACACTGAGATCACAGCTATTAGCTTGTACTTCTGGGAGGTTACATACCAGCAACAGACAGACTACCGAAAGAACCAGCCGTCAGATGCAGTGTATAAGCAACACAAATGTTCGTTTGAGTTTTTAGTGACAAGTTGGGTCGAAAGTTACCGTGATCACATAACAGTAATGCAGTAAACTTGATGGGATTAAGCGACCCACGTAGCCTAAATTTTATTGTTGTTTCTATTCATACAACTGTTTCCAAATGGAATGAAGTAAAAAATGCTTTTCGGAAGCATGTCATTCTCCTTCATGTTTATGGACGACGTCAAACTTTGAATGGCTACTTGAAATGCATAAAGAGGACGGCATCATAAGGTCAACCAGACACATCAGAAAAACCGTTCGCTAGACTGTACCAGGGGATTAGCGTAAGCGTAACGATGCGTGCCCACTGAGATTGTTCATGTGACAATACGGTTATCAACCAGAGACCACTAGACACGGGATCGGGGATTAAAAATATCGATCGGAAGGCCAAAACAAGCTACTTTTCATTCAGCTTCGAAGGTTTTTGACCCCTCGGCAACTCTGGTAATTTTTTCCCGGAAAGGCAACTTTCCACTTTGAACAGTTTTCATTGTACAATAACTCATCAGTGACATGTGTTAAACCTTGTCAAATGATCATCGAACTCGTGGTAGCGAAAACACTGTGGTTCAGTCCACATCACATAGGAACGGTCAGAGTATGTACTTGGTTGTGAAGTAAAAGTTTTAATGGTGTGTGGAGTAACTTGAAACTCCAATGTATATTAGGAGAGATTCCACTTTGTTCACGTCAGCTCTGTAGGTACTGGCTTCATTCCTCTGGATCGCCTTGCAGCTAATTTAGCTGTGAACTTTGAGTCTTGTCACGTCCAAAACACAGGTAATACACAGCCTAGCTAACTGAATATCGGAAATTCTTTTGCTCACCGAGGCTCCGGAGACACGGCAAGTTACATTACAAACAACAGTAGCCCTTTTAAGATTCTACTTATCGGTGTACGCTAGTTACTTAAGAAACTACCTGACCTAAGAATAGTAGCTTTACCAACCACACCCACGGCGTTACCAGTTACTGAACCATGGTGTACTGACTCAATCCCGGACATGGACCTGTACATAGGTGGTTATACTCTGCATCACATTAATCGTGATCACAAGCTAGGTGGAGGCCATTTGATCTACGTGTGTAGCCTTTTTACCTCAAATAAGATTGATGATATCTTCAGTGGTTTGACAAACGCACTTTGGATCATTATAAACGGTACTAACTACAAAATCCTCATGGGCCGTGTGCCCAGAGCACCATGTTCAGCAAAAGGAAATGATAAACTGATGGCTAAATCATTCGTCCTCTCTGGATCCCTGACGCTTGACCGTGAACTGATTGCAGGTGACTTTAACTCGCCTGAAGTTGACTGGGAGGCCGGTCGCGGCCCACAATGATTTGATGAAGTACTTGCTGTCATAGACATCTATGGCTGAAAGCAGTACGTCCAGCAACCCACGTGTGGAGATAGTGTGCTGGACCTGGTCTCCTGCTGTGACATCATCCCTGTCTCTACCCATGTCAGCAGTGAATTCTCTAACAGTCACCATAGGGTGGTATTCTGCCACTTACCAGTTCTTCCTCCCAATGAGAAAAACAAGCAACCTTCAAATCATACGCGGCGTCGAACTACAACAATATAGAGTGGGAAGCACTCATCGAGCCCCTCAGGTGCTCTCCATGGGATGACTACTTTACCGCAGCCCCACCAACAGGTACCCTCACTCTTCTACGGAAATATAAGGCTATGCCTAGATACTGTTGCTCCTGTGAAAATAGTTAAGGTTTGTAAGCAGCCAGACCCGCATATCCCTATAATATTCCGCAGTTAGCTTAGGAGATTATCATCACAATACCACACGTCCAAAGACTTCACTTCACTCCACTCAATTTATGAGATTTACGAACCCATTAAGACACTACGCGCTAAACACGAAGCAAATGAAGAGATCGATGCTCTCAAAAGTGGTTCTAGAATGCGCAAGTTAACATCTCTTTTGAGTAAACGTTTGCATCCATCGAGGAATGTAGCCTATTTGCTGTATAATGGAATGGCACACAAAGATCTCAGGATCAGTGAACTGTTTGGCAAATCATTCGCAAATTTCAACCATAATACGTTTAACCCCACTAGTTCCACTCAAAGTACTACCAGTTCATGTACTAAAGTGAAGTTCACTGCCAAAAGTATCACAGAGGCTATCAAAAGCCTGAGACTATCGACGGGTAGGCGGAAAGATGGCCCAAACTCAACAGTCAAAGAAACAGTGGTGACGATATGACGCTGTTCTTGGTAAAGATATTCACAGTGTCAGCGGAAAGTGAGGGGTGTCTCAGAGAGTGGAAAACTGGCTTCATAGTTCCTCGCTACAAGTCCGACGACAAAGCAAATGCTGGTACCTACGAACCTATCAAGGTAACTCCAGTTGTCTTCCGAATTATGGAAAAATTGATTAAGGGCAGCACGTCTGACTACCCACTTAGAGAAAGCCTCATCACAAAGTCTCAGCACGGTTTTAATGAGAGCAGATCTTGCGTTGCTTGCCATTTCAATTTCTTCAACCTTATCGCTAGTGGCCGCGAGGCATGTAAAATCATCATTGTCCTTTGCTTCGATACGTCAAAGGCATTTTACAAGGTGCCACACGGCATACTATTCTTCTCGACTCACATAATATTCTACGCAAATTGGCGGTAGTTGTTTTTGATGCTAGTTACTGCTCCTAATCTCAATGCTGCAATAGTTCAGCCACTCTTAACCCCTCCTACAACTAAACACTCCACCCACCGTCCCCTTTTTTCTGTGTAGTAAGCTAGGGGTTTTTGTGTTGTACAGTAGTACAAGTCGGTTTCGTGTGATAGACCGAGCTCAACTATTGCATGAGTAGAGGTATAATGGTCATAAGTGCTGCCTGACGTGTGGTATGTACCAAGGGGCGATTGGGTCAACAATGTATGCACGGTCTTAGTCAGCTGACAGTGAGCTGGAAATATAGTCGTAACCATCAACTCTATTGAGCTTGGTACAAAAATATTAAAAAATAACGCAAAAATATACGAAGATGGTGATAACTGCCCAAGAGGCATGACGGTAGGAAGATAAGCTTGAACCACTCTTACCTCTATGGCGGTATCTTTATGAAACCTACGACTCTTGTACTTATGACGACAAAATAATGGTAAGAAGAATGAGGTTACCAAAAAACGTCCTCCAGTTCTGCTAGCTCAGCTCACTATGCACCACCATATTGTCTCTATAGTCCTGATATGGTAACACTCAACAGGCAACACCAAGATCATCCCTCCCTCATGACAATATAAAGTGTGGTTACCATTAAAGCGAAAAGCGTGAGTTCTATTTAAAGGTTTATAACTTCATTAAACTTCTGCACATAGATTTTCTACACATAAGTGAATACCTGGTCCGAAATCTTCCATTCTCTCTATTCCACAGTGATATCTTCGGCTTCAATTTAGTTTCCGCTACTTTTGTGTGCACCTTCACCTTCTTCCCCATAAGCTTATCTACAAACAGTAGGTTTTGGAGACCCCTTCAAGTGACTTTTGCAGTCAGTACAATGAACTCACATGCATCATGGTCGACGTGCTTCTGCGTAGTATTTCTGTGCTCCTGTTCCAAATTTCGCTTGCTGCTAGCTTTTGTTATTCATTTTTCAGGTTTACCCAACCAGTCCTCCATCCGTACGGAATCCTAGTAGTCTAATTTGCCAGTGTGCACTATGCCATCTAGGCCTTATGACGAACGCACAAAGCTCAAGGCCACAGCTGTAC